TGAATGGTATATATTTAGTGGAATCACGTTTTCAAAACGTGAAAAAGCTACATACCATTCAAGCCTATTATCTCTTTACATTGTGTTTAAAGCAAAACGAGAATAGTAGTTGTTGTTGTTCATCATCTCTTTAAAAAGAGAGTATTTGTGAGGAAAAAGGTCAACGGCCATGGCTTTGACAGGTCTAAAAGGCTCAGAAGCAGACATTTTCTTGGCTTTAAGTTCTATCAAGGAATCTGCTCATTGTCTTGAACCGTGGCTTCCATTTCAGATTCATCTAAGTACTCTACCTGTAAAAGACAAAGCTAACGAACATTACTACCATGAAGAAGAAGAAACATCCATAGTATTAAAGATAAAGAAACCAAACTTATTGTTCGAATACATACCTTTGAGCAAATGAACTTGTAGTTACTCATACCATTGATCTTTGCATTTTGTTTTGCATCTGATACAGCCAGCGCATTTATTTCAATGCCAATCACCTGTTAAGAGCCTTAAGAGGTTAATTACTGAACCCATTAAGAAGGTAAGGATTGTGTTCATAGGTTCTGCAAGTTTAAAGAAGCGATCATTACCATACCAACATGATGTGCCAGTGTAAGCCCGATTGTTCCGGTTCCACAGCATACATCAAAGAGTAAAGTGTTGGGACCAAGATCAGCCCAATCTCCAGCAAGTGAATATAGCTTCTCTGCGGCTCCGGTGTTGGTCCAGGAGACAGAGAAAAAGATGCTGACAGAGATTCTGGCTGAGTAGGAAGAAGCGGTGGTGGAGAATCCGTTAGGGATTCATGTGTTGATGATGAAATCGATGGTGGAGTTTCTGTTTTTCATTGTATTTGATTTGTCTCTCAGCTTCCTCTCTCTCTCTGTATGACTGTATCCTCTCTGTCTCTTTGCCCCGAAGAAGAAACAGAAAAGAAAGCCTAATTACCAATTTCAATTTTGAGTTTGGTTTAGTCGATTTGGTCATTGGGTCGGGTTGTGTTTGGGGTTATGGGCAATCGTATTTGCCAAACGCGATTTTATTTAATCGATCGCAATTTACATTTATTAGTTTTATAGGTGGAATTGAGCAGCAAAGTAATAGTTTAGGTACAAATGTAAATAAATATATTATTTTATAGGGAAAAATCAAGAGCTTGTAAATTTAAAGGGAATCAGATAGAAGTTGTATTATCAAGGGGAGCCTAGGCAGTCAATCCCAATAAAATTGATACAAATTTATTTTAGTTTATATCACTTAAATAAAATTAATATATAATTATGTATTTAAATCAGTTAAATAATCAATGTAATCAATAATTTTGGTTGACATCATTTAAAAAATGATATAAATTTTATATTAGTTAAAACTGATGTAACTAATTTTTTGTATTTTGTCTCACATCGCTAGTTGATAAAAAATGAAAGAGAAAACATGTCTATATATATTAAAACTTAAGTACCTTATAATTACAGTTACTAGCCAATAAAATTAATTTCGAATTTTTTGAAAGATCAAAAAATTATTGATGCATAAAATTTTGGATTATAATAATATTATTATTATAAATATTTATAGAAATAAAAATAAAAATAAAAATAAATTATTTTTAACATCTGAAGATAATCATAATATTAAACTAAACTAATTTTAACATTATTTGTTATAACCGTCACAAATACTAATATCATTAATAAAAATTGATACAAATGATAACATCAGTTTTTTATAATTGACACATATTGACATCAATTTCAATAATCGATGCAAAAATAAAATATATTTGCATTAACTGATAGCTAATTGATGTTAATTATTTGTATCACCACATTCAGAGTCAGTTTTACAAGTGATGTAAAATTTATTTATATCAATTATAACTAATACAAATATTTAAAATAAGTGATACAATACACCTGTTTGTCAAACTGGTTATGGAGAGACTAAACTTTTATGATCAATGGGTGCGGTGGATCATGAAATGCCTAAATATTGTATCAGATTTCTATCTAATAAATGGATCAGCCCAAGGACATGTTCAACCAAGTAGAGGATTACGTCAAAGAGTCCTTCTCTCTTCATATTTATTTATTCTGTGTAGTGAAGTTCTATCTGGACTCTACAATAAAGCTAAGCAAGATGGAAAATTACCGGGAGTAAAGGTGTCAAAGTGAAGTTCGAGAGTGAACCATCTTATACTCGCAGATGGTACGATGTTATTCTGTCAAATGGACCCCAAAACTGTGCAGAGCTCCAATTAATCATATAAAAGTATAAAGCAGCCTTGGGGTACCAAATCAACAAGCAAAAGTCAGCAATCATGTTCTCTTAAAAACACCCAATAAGGGTACAAAGGAAAGAGTTAAAGCTGCACTAAAAATCCAAAAAGAGAGAGATGTAGGAAAATATTTTGGCCTACATGAGCACTTTGGTAGGAAAAAGAAGAAACTCTTCACTTTCATAGTTAACAGAATCCAACAGAGAGCACATAGTTGGTCATCTAGCACATGACGCTAGTAGGAAGGCTTACAATGCTTAAATTAGTGCTTGCAACCATGCCAACATACACCATGACTTGCTTCAAACTCCCATATTCACTATATTAACATTTCAATGATGCATTACTAGAAAAGGTGAGCTGGCGAATCCGTACAAAACCCCCATGTTTACTAGCCCAAATCTTAGTAAGCATATATTGTCATAAGACGAGCTTTCTTGAGAGTACCCCCCCCCCCCCTTCATCTTCCCATGGATGGCATGGAATATGTGTTGGACGTGATCGCATCAAACCACACATTACGATGGAAAGGACACAAGCCTCTGGAACAAACAATGGATTTTGCTGGATAAGTTATGCCAATCGATGGGACCAACTACGGAAACAATGCAAAATCTACTAGTTGAAAATCTCATTTCTCCTGAAATTCTAGAATGGAGCAAGGAAAGAATCCAAGCCATAGTTCCTGCGTATGAAAGCCAAACTTTAGAGCTAAAGCCAAGCAAAAATGGAGAAAAATATAAGATAATGTCGCTCACACTAGAAACAGGAATCTATATGACAAAATCAGGTTACGATGAAGCCATCAAAGCACATGAGGAAAATAACAGAGCCCTAGGAGCAAGACGCACAAAACCAAAATTTCAATTGAAATGCAAAAATTTGGAAAGTACACACTTTACCAAAAACAAGACTCATCCTATGAAGCACTATTAGTGGGAGAGAATATGAGCATTTGAAATGTACTTACCTCGGTACAATGCCTCCTTTTTTATTGCAACTTCGCGAGAGAAGTTTGGGCACGAATCCCCTACAAACAACATATAAAGTCAAAAGATATAACCAATGTTCAAACAGGAATTGAAGCTTCATATAAAATAATGTGCTTACCTCCTACTAGAATTAGCAAAGGCACAGTCTTCCCATGGGTTGTGTGGGTGATTTGGATAACAAGAAATAATAATTTTTTTAGGATCAACAATCACCCAAAACACATCATCAGCGGAAGAAACTGCAACACATCATCAGCGGAAGAAACTGCAACACTAAACACAATAAGACGAATTGGCCACATAGGGCCGATCCGAAGTATAGCCAAATGAAGCATTTGTCTTGACCCCTAAATTTTAGTAGCTCATTTTTGTTATTTTTTATTTATATATATATATATATGCATAATTACTAGTATTTTATGGGTTTTTAATATGAATCCAATAAAAAAATACAAATTAGCTTCAATTCATTAAGTTTATTTTTGTTTTTAGAAAATTGTGTTTTATTTAGCACTTTTCATATTTGATTTTTTTTATAATATACAATAACGACTTCTACTTTTTTTTATTTATCTGGAGTTCTCAATAATTCAGAGCCGGCCTTGTGCCACAAAAGGCCATGGTTTCTAAACCTCAGGTACTTGGTTGCAGCATGGAGAAGAAGGCTGTACCAAGATGTAACGTCACCAGAGATCATAAGGCTCGGAAGTGGACTCCCTCCAAAACGGTGTGTTTTGTTGGATACTAATCAGAGAAGCTGTGGCAAATTTGGTCTAAAATAAAGGAGCTTTCATTTGAAAGAGTCGTTAGTAACTTTATGGTCAAATTTTAGTTGATAGAAAGTCCCTAGTCTAGTGCAAGTCCTTAGTTGTTGTGTTCTATTTCTCTGCCAATTTTTTAGGATTTCTGTTTTTTGCTAGGCTTATAAATAAAAGCCATCATCATTCTCTACGAGATTAAACAAAGTTTACATCCTCCATATAACTAAATAGCTCATTTGCCTTCACCGAAACAGTAACACATCCTGTAAGAATCAAACTTGTTTGCTGCACAGTGCACAGAGTCAAAGGGCAGAAATAGCAAGCACTTTCAAATATTCTCAAGGCAAGTATTCAATCACATGTTGTTGTTCTTACAAATTCAGACTGTAATAACCAAAATAAAAATTCATAAACCACTCAAATGAATTTTGATAAATGTTATCAAAATTTTAGATCTTGAGGATATAGATCATAAAATAGAATAACCCCTCTTAAATATTTGGAAAGAGTTTTTTCGATCAATGATTAATAGCTATATCTTCATGCAGTATAATTTTCAAGATTTAAAATTTTGATAGCCTTTAGTACATTCATTCATTTCTGTGGATTATAAAATCTTTGCGTCATATTTTGGATTTTGTTTCGAATAACTAATTTATGAAAATCCATTGTAATTGGCTAATTGCTTTCAAATGATATAATATACAAAAAAAAAATAGCTGTATTACAAAACCTTTTTCTCTGTCAATTATATTATGGAGAGATCTTATTCTTGTTGCATAGAAGAAGATGACAAAGAGACTTAAGACTTTTAGTTTCTTTCTATGAATAAAAAAAACACACAAACAAAGGATACATGACAACATTGTATAAATAAAACAGATCCAAGTCCAGATGATCATCCAATGTGAATCAAAACTAGTCTTAAATATAAAGAAAAAGTTCCAAGATTTTTCAATAAACATTAACCCAAAAAAAAACTCACAAGTAATTAGCAAGCCATGGAAGATCATTGTTGTCTTTCAATGCAAAAGAAACATCATCACTTGGAAAATTCAGCTGCAGCTTCTGCAACCTATGCCTCTCTCCAGCTTCACAGAGAATGATTCTGCATTCACCGAGCTCGCAACCGATTTTGAGAAGACTGTCCCAACCAGGAAAAGCTTCACCATTGTTTAAGCAAAGAGACGACACTGTCGTCGCCACTCTATCGAACGTCGTCTCCGCCATTCCTGTTTTGTAAAGCTCGTGAACCATAGCCGTCAAGAAGATCCTACTCAGCTTCGACACGCTCTTCATTACTTGAACGTGAGGTGCCTGAAACATCTCCTGTATCGCTGCTTCAACATCAGCCATAATCACAAGCTGGTTCTTCGCGGCTTTGTTGGTCTTTAGACGGTAATCCGCTACTTCTGCGGCACGCCTGCATATCTCAAGCGCACGTCTTGCATCTCCAGAGATCGCAGCTACTTTCCTCGAAGCAAACTCTATAGCTTGCTTCTCGAAAGCATCGATTCCTTTAAGCCTTGTGGAAATGATTTCTTGCAGCTGAGTGTGGTTGTAAGGACCGAAACATAGTCTGTGTATACCCATTCGGCTTGAGATCCGAGGAAGCAGCTTCTCCGGAAGATCCATAGTGTTTGCTATCCCCAACACAATCAGCTTGGAGTTAGGCTTTGTAGGCCAATCAAGAATGTTGTACAGAACAGACTGGTTTCTTGTGACTAGAAGATCAAGCTCGTCTATGAGAAGTATGCAAGGCTTCTCTTCTTCTTTCCCAATCTTTTTACCTTCTGAGAACCTCTCGTTGAGAGAGTGTAGAGCTTTCTTCCAACCTACACGATGACCACTCATCGCTTCATAGATTACTGTGTAGATGTTCTCGGGTGAAGCCAGCTTGAGACCATTGATCTCCACGAAGCAATACGGGCTTACGTTTCCGGCTTCAACCTCAGCTTTTAGATTCTTCATAACAGATAGTACACTAATAGTCTTCCCTGTCCCTGGAACACCATGGATGTACATACATCTTCCTAAACACTGATCATCAGAGATCGAACCTTTGATAAACGCAGTGATCTCTTCCATCTCTTTGTTCCTACAAGGAAGAGACTTGGGACGTGTCGCCAACAACAAAGTAGCTTTCGCTTTTTCCAACTCAGTCTGCTTATGGCATCTCACATGTTCAGGAATCTGCTTCGCTCCCACTTTCTCGAGCCCAAAGAAACGACCTTTAAGAGAATTCGCAGCTTTTGCAGTAGTTAAACCTCTCTTACTCTTCGAATCTCTCTTTGAATCTCCACGAGCACTTTCCTCATCATCAAACTCCATCTCTTCATCACTATCAACCTCCTCCTCCACTTTCCTAGAGTTCCATTCATGGTCACTCTCGGAATCTTCATCAGCTAATTCAGCTAGACGCTTGAAGCTATGCCAATGCACATCGTATTCATACTCACACAAGAACACATCATCACCATCATTGCTCGCCTTTGAAAACTCCTTTGGAGACTTCACAAAGCAATGCCTGAGTATACATTCCATCTCTACATCAGCAAAATCGTTCGTGAGATAAACCTCTCGCTTCAGATTATGCGATTGCCTCCCTGAAGCAGTCTCTTCGGGTATCATATACCAATGAGCTCGAATCCAGTACACACCATCGGCTTCTTTCCACAGTTTCTCGATCCGAGCAGCCCATAGATCGCTAGAAAGAAGCTTCTCCCTCGCCGTTCTCATCAGTCTCTTCCCTTCCGGTGGTTTCGGAACCGCGAGCGTCTGCCCTGACTTTCGAGTCTCGCAAAATTGGCAGATCCAATCACCTTCTGGAACCTCTTTCAATGGCGGCTTCAAGCATTTCAAGTGAAACCCACCTAAGCAATCATCGCACTCAATCATTATGTTACTACCTGATTTGAAGCAAATCCTGCAATCTTCGATTTCTGGGTCGTCTTCTTCGTCTGAGGCGGCGCCTTCTCTTCTCTTAACATACACATCATCTCCGACTTCGAATTCGACGCCGTCGAATTCCACTTTACTGTAGTAGACTCTCTTGTTGGATCCTGCTGGATTAATTTTCTTCTCTCCGGATTTTGGCCTTTTCTTCGTCGTCTCCGATCGAATTGGGGATACGGGAGAGAAGGAAACTTCCGCGTCTATTGAATCTTTGTCGTTGACTTTGGATATACAGTTTTTCTTCTTCGGGGTTCTGAGATTCTCCGATTTCTTCAAGTTCCCTTCGGATTCATCATCAGTGGTTCGATTTCTGGGCGCTCTCTCCCTTTTCCGAATTAGATTCATCTCTTCCGTCGATTCTCTCTCCGGGACATCGATTGAGGCGAGATTCTCCGGCTCATTTCCCAGATCGATCTTCCGAGAAACATGACGAGCGGATCTGCGAAGAGGAGTGAGGGTATTTGGGGTTTGGGGAGTGAGCAAGGTTGAAGAAGAAGGAGATAAATACGATTTGCGATAGATATTAGTTGGGGTTTTGTTCGATTTGGTAGGAGACAGGAAGGTTTTCTTTCTGGGAGTTGCAGCAGCCATGGATGGTTTCAGAGCTAGGGTTTCTGGGCAAAGGAGAGAGAGAGAGAGAGAGGGAGGGAGGGAGGTAGAGAGAGAAAGATGGTGTGGTGGGAGAAGGGATTTTAGTGAGAGGATTTGGCGGGAAATGTTCCCTCGAAGAAGAAATGTATTTTTTATTACTTTAGAAAAAGACACAAATTGGGGAAGGAAATGGGAAAAGATTTATGGATATTTCAAGATTATTATTGACTAATGACTAATGTGACTTACTGAAATAGTTCTTTTAACATTATAATACACATTGATTAAGAGCTAAATTTAAGAGATGAGAGTTATTTCATTTCTCATCCCATTGATCTTGACTTTCCATAAAATAAGTCTGTGTTTAATATGGGTTTCAGACTTTCAATCGGACTTAGTTGGATTTTCGGTAATACAAAAATATTTTACCAATGTAAAATAGTATGATCTAGTACGGTTCGGTTGGGATAAATTCATTTTTACAGTTTGATTTTAAATCATGGTTGTATATCTATATTTTTTCCTTAGAAGATGTGATTTTTGTTACTTTAGAAAAAGACATAAATTTGAAAAGAAAATGGTAAAGATTCATGGAATTTCAAAATTAAAGGTTTATTTGGTAAGAGCTGTAGGCATTTATGGTGTAGATTTTTACAGTCAAAATTAGAGATCTCTACATCCAAATGTAGGTTTTTACCGTTTAGGCGTAAAATCTATAATATTATATAAAATATTAATTAAAAAATTGATTGGATAAAAACTGTATAAACTGTGGCTGTTATTCTAAAAACTGTTGAAAATTTTTCGTATGATTTTTTTTCATAATTAGATATATCTTTGTTTTTTTAATGGGTTTGGATTTGATTTTTTATTTAACACTCTATTTAAATTTAGATTAATGTAAAAATTAAATTCAGACCCATCCATTACATATTATTTGAAAAGTAACATTATTGAAAATAGCTTACTTGTCAACACTACAGTCAACATTAGTGTTTTTAATTGATGACATGTAAATGTGACATGTCAAACTTCCTAAAATAAACAAAATGTTTTGATTGGTTGAATTAAAATTATAGTTGTAGAATTAAAACATAAATAAATTAGATTATATTTATAATACTAAAATTAATAAATTTAAATTAACAGAAAATAAAAGTTATTATAATTTTAATTTTTTACATATATTTATAATTTCATAAAATATAATTATGAATTTTTTTTTTAACAATATATATATGTGAAATTACAATATATATGTAGTGCATTATAATTTCACATAAATACAAAAAATAATACTAAATGATCCAATAGAATAGAAAAAATTCTATTTATTAATAATACATGAAGTATGATATATTTTTATATCGGAAAGTTATTAATTTACAAAAATATATTAATAACATCTAAACAAGTTCTAAAAAAATTATTAAATAATATAATTTTAAGTAAAATACAATCATGATAAAAATAATTTAAAGAATAAAATGTTAAAATAATAAAATAATTAACTTTTATTGAAATGGTTTTAAAAAAACGTAATTTTAAATAAGTTTATTTTCAAACCGATATTTACTAATGGAATAAAGTATATACTAATTATTATTTTATAATATTAATAGTACCATATATTTTTCTATAACTTTTATCATCTTTTTATTGTTGTTTTCTAAAATGTACATAATTTATGTTATCATCTCATCTTATCTCTTATCATATTTTAAATAAAAATAATAGCATATATACATATATTTATTTTTATTGTATATAAAAATTTTGAGATAATAAATGAAATAAAAAAATAAAAATAAATAAATTATAATAAGATGAAACAATATGAATCAGAAATAAAAATAAAAGTATATAAAAGTAAATCTCTCGCACTTTGTTTTACAAAGTCACTTAAAAACTTTTTAACATGTAAGAGCCATATTTTAATTTTTTACAAATACGCATACATACATATATATTAACTATACATTAGTTGAAGTCACATGCGAACTTTTCCGTGCATGTATTTTTTAATATTGATTACAGTCTAATTTTTATTTTAATTATTATATAATTTATATTTTTAAAAAATATTTATCTATTCTAAGTATAGTGAAGTGGTTGGTATGCTCGCACATGCGTGCCAATTATCTATCCGCTCTTAGGAATAAGTAAAAATGGTAAAAACTATTTCAGTTCAATTTACAATAAATCAAGAAAAATATATACTTAAATATATTATATATGTATTTGCAAATTTATATTATGTAAGACGCAAAAAAACATATCGTAGATTGTGTAAGGAGCAATAAAGCATATTATAGAAATATTTAAAAAATATTATAAGAATTTAATTATTATTTAACATAATTTTATATTTGTGATTATATATTATTACAAGCATTATAAATATACAAAGTTTTAAAATACATTGGTTTCAGAAAAAAGTTTGTGAAATATTAAAATAATATATATATACAAACATACCAATATTTTAAAAAACTAATCAATATTTAAATATTACAGTTAACTATGTATATCAAAAAAATTATACTTGTACATATGTGCAGGCCAACCACCTAGTTCAGACGTTTTTTTCTTTTATTCTAAATCGGTTTGGTTCGGTTTATTCAAATTGACACTCTTCGATTCGGATTTGTTTGTTTGGGTTCAGATTTTTTTACTTTGGATCAGTTTGGCACAATCAGTAAAAACGGCACATTTGGACACCTTTTGCAACTCAACAATCCCATCATCAATCATAGATCAATATTAATTGGTTTGCCATGATTTAATCTAAATCGAACTATAACACACTGTTTCATCTCTTGACAAACTCGTGATTTATTCATTATTTATTAAGCATGTGAATGTTAGCATTGATCTCTGTTACCATTCACTATCTAACCAAGAACATGAGATGAGAGAATTCCAAAAAAGAATAATCAAACATTGGCATTGATGATAAAAAAGAGATGTCTAGTTACAAGGCTTATGGAGAACCCTTTTCATCAAAAAGCTTTCATCTTCTTCATCATCATCATTCATCTCCCACAGTAGTCTCTGCTTCAGATACATAATCATGCCTATAAAAAAAATCAAAATAAGCATATTATCAATGTATCAAACGTTAATGCAAACGCACAAGTAGACATGTCGTTTGAAACAATCAATGCCTAATAATGCATAGTATATCTCATGTAATGTAATACTAGAATATGAAAATACTGAATAATCTTTCATCTCACTTTATTTTACGAGTAAGTTGGTATATCCCTGTCGCTGCCATAGCAACATTAACACTAAATAAGTTCCAGTTTTTCTGTAAAACAAATTATCAGAATATTAGATAAACCAAAACCAAGAACCCATAACAAAATCATTACAAAAACTCAAAAAGGGAACAACCCCAGTACCCCACTAAGGAGAAGTAAGCCAAACTTACAGGGATGATTACAGTGCTGCAACGACACCAGATCATTCCAGTACATGTCACAGCTGATACAAATAATTAGATAGAAACTTTTATTAATAAATATTGAGATAAGAAATATATATATATATATATATATATATACGCAAGAAACAACCACAAATAAGATTAATGTGAATGTATATATACCAATTTGTTGAAGGTATGAAATATTCTCTGGAGGTTTCTGGAAATCTGCAATGTTAGCAATGCTTATTCCCCATTTGAAAGTTGGAGCCCAGAAATGAACTGATAAGACGCACACACAAAGAATTTTTTTTTATTCGAAGCTAAACGTATGAGATTCCATAAATGTAGAGAACAAATATAAAACGAAATAAGAAGTATTGAAAAAAAAATGTGATAAGAAATTGAGTTGACTCACTAGTCTTAGGTCCCGCAGGGTGATTCCAGAGAGCTTGAAGCTTCGACGTCGCCATCGAACTTTTTGGTATCTGAGAGATTCTCTTTTCTGTCTTGTCCAGGTTCCGACATAAATATTAACGACAAGGTGCAACTCAAAACGATGTCGCTTTTATATTAAAGCCAATAATTCTCTTGGGCTTATTGTTAGTGGACCTTTACAGGGTTAACCCTAATTAAAAGAGAACATCATAGAGAAAACCTAAAACGTGTGTTGCACTCTTGACAAGTTACGGCACAAACCCTAACTCTCTAGGGAGACAATTAATCGATAACACGACGAACAGTAGAGAGGTTAGATAATCAACTTCAGATGGTATCTCCAAAACCGGTAAGTTTCTCTTTGATCTCTTCCTTCTCTTGTGTATGCAATTTTTGCGTCTCCCGTATGTGTTTCGTTTTCATTAATCTGATGACTGTAACTACAAGATTTTTTGTTGGTCTTGTTCTTGTTTTTGTTTTTTAGACGATACTATTAATTACGGATTGATCATTACTATTTGAAAATTTTATAGTTAGGTTTCGAGAAATTGCCCTTTCTAAGGAAATTGAATTCGAAAACTTAGGGTTTCTGATTCTATTAATTTGTGATAATCGTATCACCTTTTTTTTTGAATTACAGGTTTGAGGAGTTCTGACTCATGCGTTTCCACATCATTAAATCCATCACAGATGTTCTCTAAACTCAGGGGGAAATACTTGTCACACTTATATAGTTTAGTTGAAGAGGATGAAGTAAGAAATAGCAGACGGGAAGAAGATACTCTAAGCTCATTACATGAATCTGTGCTATGTCATATACTTAGTTTTCTTACGACCAAGGAAGCTATTCGTACAAGTGTTTTGTCATCTACATGGAGAAATCTCTGGAAGTGGGTTCCGACACTAGATCTAAAGGATGATTATTTCCCGAATGAAATAAAAGCGTATGTTTTCATCGACAAGTTTCTGAGTTTCAAGAACTTGCGTGAATTCAAGCTATGCATTGCCTCACATATCTTTAAAAAATATCCCTTTCTTTATGAGCTGTGTCTAGATAAAGTGATGAAGCACAAGATTCAACATTTCCAATTGAGGAATGATGTTAAGGTTGAGATTATATCCTTAACACTTACTGTGTCAGTGTGTGAGGCATTGGTTCGGTTAAGTCTAGATTCCGTTAGGCTGAATGATTTTGAGCCTCTTTACTTGCCCTGTCTCAAGTCTATGTACTTAAAAAATGTTATCTTCCCTACCGACACTAGCTCTTCAGTTCTTGATACTCCGAGGCTTGAGTATCTGACTCTCATAAACAACAGATTCAAAAGCTTCAAGATTATCAGTTTGAGTGACTCTGTCAAGGTCAATATTGATGTTGACTTTAAGTTTAACCTGGAGGAGGATGAGTACTTATCCGAAAGAAACACCATCTATAATCTTCTCAACAATTTTTCAGACGTTGGTGGTATGACCATCTCACGGAAAACTCTTAAGGTATATTCATAGCTCTAAACTTTCTTCCCATTACGTACTATTGTTTCTTCTCTCATGACTTCTTCTCTAATTGCTTGCAGTTAATCTATAGACTCCGACACATGAACCCACTACCCAAATTTCGTGACTTGACCCGTCTGCGTATTACTATGTCCTTAAACTCCTCACTAGAACTTTTGCCAATAGTTCTTGAGAGATGCCCGAATCTGAAACGCTTGATCTTGGTAACGACTTGCTTTAAACTTTCCAAGTTTTTTATTTTATTTTAACTAGCCCACTCACCAAATTTTCTAATATGTTTAGATCATAGACACCATTATGACTGGTTAAATGATATTACGTGAAGAAAAACGATTTTTAGCCTATAGCAACAAGAAAACTCTTTCTTAAATGATATCACTAGCTCACTATCACTTGGTTTTTAAGCTTTTTCTAGTTAATTCTAACCTAAGTAAGGTGTTTGTTGATCTTAATTTTTCTTGTTTGGAATCTGTGTTTTGTAGAAACTCGATTATAATGATTATCGAGAGGCAGTGGCAGAGGCAACGGAAATAAATCTTTCGAATGTGCTGTCTAATTCTTTGGTATCGTCACTTGAATATGTTGAAATTAAAAGCCCGACCAAGGAGAAACCGATAACGACATGGAGACTGGTTAGATACTTTCTGGGAAACGCTACATTACTCAAGAAGCTAGTTCTACGTCTGAATGTTTCTGATACCAGAGAGAAACACGATCCTGCTTACTTGAAAGAGTTCTTTGACTCTGAGAGACGCTCTCATTTGTGTCAATTTGAAGTAGTTATTTGCTGACCTGGTCAGTCTCCAATATACTGTATTATTAATATTTAATTAGGTAATAATTTGCATCTCAGGGTGAAATAATTAATATTTATTTATATTAATGTAATTTTAAAATTATATAATATAATATAATATAATTAATTTTATTTATGTTTATATATTACGCTATAACATATATTAATGGAAGAAAAAAACACTATCCAATTTGTATATAATATTTCTAGGTAAAAATTTGAAGTCATAGATTTTTTAAATCATGTGAATGATGACATAATTCAATGTTTTCACTAATGCTCAAGCTTTAGGTAAAAAAATTTATGTACAAATTTATTTCTTTTTGATGCTGAAAAAATGATTAGGTCATGTTTGTTTTTGCATCCAGATGATGTGTTTTGATATTATTCTTTAAACACTATTAATTCATCATATAGATTTTGTATTTGGAAGCAAAATCAATAATATTTTAAAAAATTGGATATTTGAGATGCCAAAAAAATAGTGTTTAAATAAAACATTTGCATCTCAATAACCAAAAGATCAAAAAACTCTTCAATATGATATAAAGCATAAAATTAAATTTTGTTGTAAAAATATAAGATTGAGGTTTTCTATCAAAATCATAAAACTGAATTTTTCCACTGAAAACATAAAATCAGGTTTTTCTTTAGAAACAGGATTTATCGCCAAAACTTTGAAATAACATTTTTCACCAAAACTAGAACTTTTCTGTTATAATTGCATATTTGTATTTTTCTGCAAAAACTGAAAGTCATGTTTTCCTGAAAACACCATAAACTGTGTTTTATAGCTGAAATTATAAAATCACATGTTTTTACCAAACCCGCAAAATCATATTTTTCTCGTCAAATCCGCAAAACTATGTTCTCCGCTAAAATCCATAAAACTATATTTTCTCGCTAAACATGCAAAATTGTGTTTCCTGCCAAATTTGCAAAATTATGGTTTCCAGTAAACCCCGTAAAACTAATTTTTTCACGTAAACCCCATCAAACTATATTTTCTCACCAAACATCAATAAAACCCATTTTTCCTGCCAAATTCGCAAAACTGCGTCTTTCCACAAGATCTGCAAAACCATATTTTCCCGTAAACCTTGTAAAATTACATTTTCTGCCAAACCGGAAAACTATGTTTTTCTGTCAAATCTGCAAAACTGCATTTTATGTAGAATTCGTAACATCATGTTTTCTAATAAACCCCATAAAACTACATTTTATGCTAAACTTGATAAACCGCATTTTTACCAAATCTGCAAAACTATATCCGTAAAATCCTTAAAATTGCATTTTTACCGCCAAAAATCATAAATCTGTAAAAATCTGCCAAAACCGATAATCATGTTTTCCATCAACATCATAAAACTATCTTTAATGGCCAAATTTCTGAAATAACATTTTAACATCATTTTAATGTACCAAAATCATAAAATTACGGTTTTTTGCTAAAATTATAAAATCATTTTGAGTATAGCTAAAAAAAGTTAAATTTAAAAATAGATACTTTTGGTGTTTTGAGATTTTTTTCATCCATGTTTTTTTCTAAATTCAAAAACAAACAATGTTGCATCTAGATATTGTAATTAGATGTAAAATCTAGTTTAAAAAAAAACAGTGTATAAATGATGCATCTAAAAGTTGAAATCTGAAAAGTATTTATATTATCACTTTTATTCATTCATAGTTTTTTATTGAAATAAACAATAGTTAGAAAAATTGATCATTAGTTAAAAATCAGATTCTTTACCAATCATCTTCAATTAAGTCAATATTGTTTCAATTTAGCATTTATCACTTTCAATGATTGATTTGTAAAAAGTTAATTAGTTTTAATTAAATAATCTTTATTATATGTGGTAGGTTGAATTAACAATAAATTTGATTCAATTATGAATTTAATATTAATATTATGTTGTAGTAATAGTATATTTGTTTGAATTCATATATTGTAAATCAGCTACTAGCTTTAAGAATATGTCAACATTCTCTTCTATTGACTTGCTTTCTTTCATCTTGTATTATGAGAACTGCTTATTCAAGTATATTCGGTTTGGGAGTGACTTCTTCTGGTAGTGCTTTTCAAGAGCTCTCCACTGTTCCAGAGCGATGGGTTTGTGCATGATCTTCCTCAAGATCTGATCTGTTAAGCAAGTACCAAGTAAGCTCCTCACTCTTCGATCTAGTGCTTCTTTTCTTTTATTAATCATAGTTGCTGATCCTGATTCTTCTCCAGGTTTTCCCGTGACCATCATGATCGTGAAGTCTTCTGACAACACATCAAGTAAGCCTTGAATATCGACTTGACCTAGGAATTTGTATTTCCACATACCAAAATCTTCTTTTCCGTCAAACTTATCCATTTCAAACTTTCCCTGAGTAGCCTCCATACTTTCTGACTTTAGCTGACCAATCTTTGCAGACTACAGACTCACTGAACTTGAAAACCTAAACAAACAACGCAGCATACACAGAAAGCAGACTCTCTGTGAAGACAAACAGCTGACATTGAACCAACAGAGATGCGCAATGATAACAGATCCTTTTAGCAACTAAGAACCCTAACAACCAGGTGCAATTCTTCTTCCTTTCAACTTTAGATTCTTCAGATCTGAGAGTTAAGCATCTTACCTGATGCTCTGATACCACTTGTTGAAAACTCTGATCTGTTAACTCTCTGATTTGCAGAAACAGATTGCGGAAAACTTAAGTTGAGGACGAACGAAGAACAACACAAGGATTTGGTCACCCAGAGTTCACCAATAGGCTACGTCTCTGGGGAGGGATCAGGATCCCTCAACTGCTTTCAATAGATCGGCGATTACAGTTATAAATGGCAACAAGTTCCGGTTACAAGAATAGCAAATAAAAGATCAACGAATCACGAAGGAGCTTGTTGGATCTGATGAACACTTCCAGAGGTTGAATGACGACTCCTCAAAGCTCCGGTAAGTTTCTCGATCACTCTCTCTACTTCTGTGTTTGCTTTCTTTCTCTCTCTGCTTTCTCTCTCTGTAACAAACTTTTCCGTTCTCTTTCTGATCAGATGAAATGAAGACGACAAAGCTTCATTTAATCAGCTAAGGCAAGTGGGCTTCAGATGGATTAAATTGGCCCAAGACGAACATAACGAGATTGGGCCCAAGGCCCAGAAGTGTTTGACTGAACTGATATCCACATGGGAGATTACAACAATGGCGTTTCCTCTTCTTCATCTTCTTTGTTTTGCGAATTCTACAATTCAAAAGAACCAAGTTGCTCTATCGGATTACTCGTAAGAATCCTCTTCTTCTTTCTGAGTTTTATCTTCTTTGGTGAAATAATCTGTAATCGGGTGAGGAAGAAGAAGAACTCGGGTCGGGTTGGTTTTTTTGTGGATTTGGTTGTAATTGGATTTCATTCCGGTTAAATATATGTTTAGATGGTTAAGACTAAATTGGTAAACAGTTAACCGACCAAATCAAGGTATATGTTTAATTTGATTAACAATTATGACTTTATGTGTAATTGAATTTTCAACTTTCATTCTATGGGGAATTAGATATAAAACTTATTTTCGATGGGGAATTAGTATGAGGTCACAAATTTGTGTAGAACTGATGCTATATGATACTTATCAAGGGGAAATAGATCGTCAACCCTAATTTTATGATGACCTGAAAATGTGACATGGGAAATTCCTTAAAATAAACGAAATATTTTGATTGATTAAAACTAATTAAATGTAATTTTTAAATAACAAAAATATTATATCATATGTGTTTGACAAGCAGGTTTAATTAAAATGCTTGTGTGTCGTTAGAGAAAGAAAACTTAGTGTTTCTAATGGTGACATGGAAATGTGATACGACAGATTTTCTAAAATAAACGAAATGTTTTCACTGGTTGAGTTACAACTAAATAAATTTCATTTTCAAATAAGAAAAAAAATTGTATCATATGTGAATGCATTATCATTATATAGCAAGAAATCAAAATTATAAATGAAACAAAAAAACAGAAAATAAATTATAAGTATCTTCTTAGCAATTTTTTTTATATAATATTGTATATATGAATAAGAAGTAGAAGTAAAAGTAAAAATGAATCTCTACGACTTTTGTTTTCTGTAAAAATCTTGGGCTGTATTTTTGGTTTAAAAAATATTTAATCCACATTTATTTTAAATTTTCTAATTTAGAGAAAAAAACAGAGATGTTATTTTTTCCTATATAATTGGTGGAAAAGGTAACAATCTTTTTTCTTGTAAAATAGAAATAAGTTGTAGAGAAATTAACCTATAATTTAGAAGAAAAAAGAAAAAAAATATATTGGAGATGATCTTAATGTTTAATATACTATTCAAGGTTAAGAGAAAAAAAGATAAAAAAATAAAAAAGAATAATTTTGATCGATTTTAAATTTTTTATTTGAAATATTTAAAATTATTATCTTACACATATTCATTCTTTCATGCATATATTTTTTTCTAACACATTAAATTATTATTTCATGAATCAAGTTTTTTATATATTGTGATCTGTTATATTTTATATTAACACATATATCAAAGTTAAGAACATAAGAACTCTTAATTTTTTAAGTTAACAATAAAATATTAAATATATTACACTTTAAATCATACATATATAAGTTAATGATCCAACTGGGTTAAACGCTGCAGTTAAGGAAAGATTGTAGAAACGAGCAATTGCGGGCTATAAAAAATTTGACAAAGAGATGAATGGTGCTACCGAAATGTTTTATAAAATATGATTTCACAAATATTACAACAAATTTTTATTGAAAATCAATATATCATAAAACAATGAAAAATAAAAAATATGATTAGATATAAAACAATAGAAATGGTTTTCGTAATAGTTTTTAAACGCCAAAAACTGCATCGTGTAAAAACATAACGTTTGTGGAAAATATCAGAAAAACTAACCAACACCTAAATATTACAATTCACTTATTTTTAACTTATACTTACAT